GAAGCTTTGTATTTCCAGTGAAAGTGAATTTGTTTTATGTTTCAGTAAATGTTGACACAAACTTGTGATCAGCATGTTCATTCCATTCTACAGATCAAAGACCAGACATTTAACATTGGGAGATTAGTGGATGATTGTTACTTTGAAATTGTCATCTGGAATAATATTATCTATGAATATTTCCATAAATTATTGTGAGTCATGATATGCCATGTTTGAGAAGAAATACCCTAAAACTCAGATGATTGAGTTTGTTTAGATGGGCAATGTCTTTTTCGTAAATATTTATTTCCTCTCGTGAAATCAATTTGTGTCTTCAGTTCTGCTTTTAAACTGTCAAAGTTCATATCTCTATTTTCCTCTACCATTTGATGTTGCATGGATGAGATCTCATAAGTATATATTAAAGCATGTCAGTTTGACAGTGGTAGCAGTAAGCCTGCAATGTAATGTGAAACCCAACCCATAAATCGATGATATCCCCATTTCTTTTATCAGTCATAGTGGAGATTTGAGTGTTACAAGCTTGGTGCTTAGTTGATGTAGTCAACTAGGTGCTGCACTTCGCTGTGCAGGGTCTAACCATCCACTTCATTTGGTTGCCTCGTTCAACCACCTTAGGCCGCTGGGGACCTGTTCTAACCATAAATCCCCACAAGGTCATACCTGCAATGTAATGCCACTCAAACAAGTTAAGGTCATACCTTAAGAAGCTGATACATTGGATGTGATGGAAGTACTGTTAAAATTGGTATATACCCTGTCCACTCACAGTGATTGCCGTGGTATGCCAGGTTACCTGGGGTACTTGATTCATGTTATTCAAGCATTCCTCTGTGAGATGATGCCATAGTTGCTACCATTTAACCAAGATGTATACCTCAGATAGTGTAACAAGATTCGCACCAAGTCATGGTTTTGTATGACACATTTGCTGGTGTGGTGTAATCAGTACCAACACAGTTACGCTTCAGCTTTTATTTGCTAATTATCTTTGTTAACAAAAATCCACAGGTAAGACTTTAAGAATATTGTGTACAAGAAAACATGATGTGTTGAAGACATACTGCAGATGAGTGGAAAGCTAAAAAATTTAAGTTTGAAAGAAAGATCTTGTTTCAAATGCATCTTTTTCAAATGGCAATAGTCAAATGGATAGCTGGATGTCATGTTATTAAGGATAGTTTCTGTATTAAAGTATTCCTCATTTTGCACCTGTTTAATGTGATAACCTTGACAGCTCATGTCTGTAAGTTTCTCCTTTATATTCAAAATGCAAGGCAAACAAGCAGTTCTCAAGAATTCTAGAACATACCTCTTTCTGAAACACAACTAGATGAACTTAAATGATACCATGCAAAATAACTGAAAAGATGGAATTAAGGTATAAAATCAGATCCATTTCTCTTTATGAGAAGGAAAAATCATTCCTCTGAATGATAAAACTTATACTAGTTCCAAATGTATTTCATCTAAGAATCACCACAAATGTCAAACCCATTCAAACTTGCCTCAAAGTAAGAAAAAAATGGTTCACAACTGCCATAAGCTGTGGTAATATTGGCTGAAGGGTACAGTGCAATGTTGCATTTAAAACAGTTTTCACCCAGCTTCAACACTACCACCAATCTGGACTTGTCAGCTGCGGAAATAACATAGAAATTGCTTTTAAACACTATTGACTTATTCTACCAGGGGAAGAGTGCCTAAGTTACTGGCCAAATCTAAGCAAGGTCAATATTGTTTGAGAAAAGGAAAAGAAGAAATGCCAGAAATTGAATGTGAAGAAATTTGTTTGGAAAATCGGTGACACGCTGTCAACTCCGAGCTTTGACTAGCTGGGGATTTTACTAATGCAATTGAATATTCTGCTCTGTGGGTTGATCGATCTGTTTGGTTTGTAAATATAGATGAATTTAGTATTAGGATCTGACCTATTGCTCAAATGGTGCTAAGACTAACACCTTGAAATGTTCATAACAATGCATACGATTGTATGGATAAAAATGTCTTGTTATTGCATAGAGCAGTATTTTTATGTAGACTCTTATACCGTTATAAGGCTTTAAGCTTTCAAACCTCTAGCTTGATAATGGTGTAAGAATCTATATGGAAACATCACTCTTTGCAATAAATATAATGAAGCTATTATCCATAAAGTTACTCACCAAAACCCATAAAAAAAATTGAAATGTTCATATCAAGTTAGTGTATTTATTTAATGGTGAAATTGTATATCAAATGTAGATGTCCCTGATTTAAGAACAAGTAAGTTTATCCAGATTATATAGTTTAATTGATGAATATACTTTCCATTTTTTGTTTTAATGATATTTAGTCCAAGATTCAGTGAGAATCATTTTATGTCGCTTTTAGCCATGTTCCAGCATTGTCAAGTTGGACTCATTTAATGGGCTTTACACTACCTGAGTAGAGCATGGAACCCAGACCTTTAGCGTGACAAGCAAATACTTTAATCACTAGCCTACCCCATGACCCCAGCATTTCTATGAAGTGGAAAACTTCTAAAATCAGTATTTCTTCTTGCTTTCCTCCCTCATAAAGCTAGCACACCATGACAGTACCAAACTACTGTTGAACGAAGCATAACTCACTCATTCATTGTGAACAAATCCACCAGTTTGTTGTGATGCCATTGCAGGTTATGGCTAAGTGTCCAATAACGATCCTGTAGATATGAATATTGTTTCAAAATATCCTCATGCTCTGAGCATCTTGGTAACAGTATCTGAGGTTCGCCATACCACCTGGAGATAGGAAGTAAAACCCTCCATGTCTGAACTATATACTGCTGGCCAGGTCTAATGAAGACATTGTTACGACAAAAAATATGCCCTGCTGACAGAGATATTCCAAGATTCCACAGTTACACTATGAGGTGTACAATATAGGTTATCCTCATTCAGGGCCAACTTCTTCATAAACCGGAACACCTGTCAATAACAAAATCCATTCTACACCCACCCTCAACAGTAGTATAGCTATTATACTATGGTAATCTTGTTAAAGATAAGGATAAAATTCAAATAATTGCCAATTATGAGTAGTATGTCATTGAATGCAGCAACTGTTATGGAATTGGCTCTTGGACATGGTGCTGTATAGCTATAAGCATTGCAGTGTTGGAGAGCAGTATAGCCACAGGGCAGCTGTACCAGTTGTAAAGGAGATCGATAACATAGCTTGAGCAAGTCAAACACAATCGGACATTCGAACATGAGATCCTATCTTCTCCCAATTAGTGGCGATGCGAAGTTGCATCTTGCTATGAGGTGGGTAGGAAGGACATGGGTTTTATCATGTCTGCATGACAAAGATCAAATAGTTTACTTGAAATGTTGACATGATGGGTTTGGAGAAGGTGATCCTTTGTAGAAGTTTACAGGACTAGACATACAGTCATCAAAACATGTTTTGATACAATTCTTTCAAACCCATCTGACGTTTATATTTTGAAACAATTCTTAAATGTGTGGCAGTCTATTCCTAGTCTGTCCTAGTATGTCTTTACTCTTCTATCTGAAATATCTACAACAGATCTGGAGAGGTGGTGAGAAACCACAAACATCAACATCATTTCCAATACTTTCACAATCAAGGCTATTTCAGTTGGTCTTGCTATGTCTGTATAGTGTTCTTGATGGATGACAGCTCCAGCCATTAATCAACACTTGATTATCAACGTGCTGAAACCAGACTCAAACAAATGATCAAGTGATGATGAAAGTAAAACCAGTCATATATGAAAAAAGCAATTATTTCTATGAAATACTGGAGCTGTTTCAGGCCTAACATCAAATTTAAGATTAGTTGTTCTCCGGATGGTTTGAAAGCTTCTTGTACATTTCCCTGTCTGAAATTGGTGAAAATGTTTTAACCTTATGAACAACATCATATGACAGGGCATCTGTTACAAAGTGATGCAGACATTATACCCGCAGGTGGTCTAAGATGAGAAACATATTTTGCAGGCTTAAATGTTCACAAGTAAACTCTATGGGATCACAAAGTGCATAGGGTATACCTGATATTTCATGATCAGGTTTAATCCAAGCAGGGGCCATGTGGCATGTATCAATGTTGAGAGTATAGGTTCCATGCCTGTATTTGAAGGTCAAGTGTATAACTGTTCAGCACAACACTTGTAGTCAATCAGGTAAATTGCTTCCTGTTAACACATGCTTATTAAGCCATTATGGAAGTGTTTAAAATCTGTTGAAATAATTAAAACTTTATGTTCAGTGTCATTTTGATTTTCTCTACAGTAGATGCTAATGTAACAAGTTGATTTTCATATGGTTTGAGTTTGTAAAGCTTATGAATAGTAATTGTGCACATGTGTGTACGCCATGATTGTGATTAACGAGTTAAACAGAATAATAAAAACCATAACAGAAATGGAATATTATTTTTAAAATCTGGTTCTGGTGTAAAATCAACACACTTTGGTTTTGAATATGCCTTATTATGCTGTTCAAGTAGCAAGTTAGGTGTTCTACGACAAGGCTTTTAGCAAGCCTTTCTATTTGTGAATCCTGGGGGGTCCATGCATGCACCACGGTACAAACAACAAAGAAACCAAAAAAATCGCGGAAGTCATTCATTAACTTTGGATTATAGTTGTTTCAAACTGAACAAATTTGGACAATGAAAGTCACATTTATGTGCATACTCCCACTGCTGCAGTCTAAATAAAGAATGAAAAAGTGAAAACATTACACAAGGGTGCAAAGTGCCAAGATGTATTATTTTCATGAATACACACATTTGAGCTTTTGAGGTCTGTCTTGAACGTAAATAATTCAACACTGCCCAGAAGCCAGTGCACAAACTCAACCAACTGCACCTGTGTCAAAGTGAAACAGGCCATTGCATGTTCTGTTCCAGTTCAACATGCTAATGATTCAAAATTTGACTCAAATCTTTTTCATTCCACTAAGTCAAATGATCATGTGTTCAACTGCTCTCTCTCCCAACAGCACCAGGCCAGCCTTTCATCATCCCAGAAGAATGTAGTGCAGAGAACAACAGTGTCACCATTGCGTGGCAACCATATCCAAGCAGTGTTGTAGAGGCCTATACTCTAGAATTAGATGATGGAAATGGTGGAGATTTTCGGGTAAGTTATATAGTTTCATATCTTTAAAGCAATTTAGTAAAAGGTTTATGTTGATATGTGGATGATTTCTTGATTTCATGTATGTGGAGACATCAGGTTGTATGTAACACATATTGCTATGTTATCTATGCTGTTGAGCTTCTCGGAAATAGCATACAGTCAGTCATACTGGTTTGTTTAATTGTGAGCCAGGCCTGAAACAAGCTAGACTTGCATCTCCAGTATTAGGCTGCATGGTATTAGGATGATACTGACAATAATTCATAATAGCATGAGAATTTATAGATATATCTCTTCCATGGCCTGGTCAAGACACACACAGACATATCACTACCATGGTCAAGGCACCAGATTCCACACAGACATATCATGGCCATGGTAAAGGCACCAGATTCCACACAGACATATCATGGTCATGGTCAAGGCACCAGATTCCACACAGACATATCACTACCATGGTAAAGGCACCAGATTCCATACAGACATATCATGGCCATGGTAAAGGCACCAGATTCCACACAGACATATCATGGCCATGGTAAAGGCACCAGATTCCATACAGACATATCATGGCCATGGTCAAGGCACCAGATTCCATACAGACATATCATGGCCATGGTCAAGGCACCAGATTCCACACAGATGTATCATGGCCATGGTCAAGGCACCAGATTCCATACAGACATATCATGGTCATGGTCAAGGCACCAGATTCCACACAGACATATCATGGCCATGGTCAAGGCACCAGATTCCACACAGATGTATCATGGCCATGGTCAAGGCACCAGATTCCACACAGACATATCATGGTCATGGTCAAGGCACTACCAGATTCCATACAGACATATCATGGTCATGGTAAAGGCACCAGATTCCATACAGACATATCATGGCCATGGTCAAGGCACCAGATTCCACACAGACATATCATGGCCATGGTAAAGGCACCAGATTCCACACAGACATATCATGGTTATGGTAAAGGCACCAGATTCCACACAGACATATCATGGTTATGGTAAAGGCACCAGATTCCACACAGACATATCATTATCATCGTCAAGGCACCACATTGTCACAGACATATGGTCAAAGTATCACTGCTTCAATGCATCTACTTTTCTATTCTCAGCTCCATGTGGAGTATGCAACCCATGTTGCCTGTTTGGTGCTTATATCTTATCATTTACATTACAATCTCAGTAATACCATGTCAGACAATCTCCTGTATGAGAGACAACTCATGTAATATCATGAAAATTTGGACTCACTTAATCTGACCTGTTTGTAATGTGAGGAAAAACTGAAACTTGCTGACAACATCTTGATTTTCTCATTAGCGACTGTATTTGCAGTTAACATGTAGAACATGAGGAATGTCCAATGAGTTCAACAGGATTTCAGACTCCCTGCACAGATCATCCCATAGTTTTGTTACCCATGCAAGGTCATGTTGTTCTGTTTATCTCACAAGTTGGTTTCCATCAGTGAAACATATATTGCAGTTTTGTATCTTTCAAATCATGTACCAGATTTTAAAGTATTTCTACTTGTATCTCAGATGAGATAAGACTATTAATACTAAATTCTTAAGTACATGTATATCTAAATAACAACCATAGGAATCTAGATTTTTGTTAACAGTGTATTTAATTGTCCTGACAACAAATACATTATACTTATGTCAGGTGCAGTGACTATGTTGGTTGTGTGTTCTTGTTACCATCACAATGTGGTGCGTCAAAACCTGACTGAGCTGTTTTCAGGCTACTGTGATACAGCCCCAATGTGGCTGATGACAGCCTGAAACAACATCTACTGACTCAGTTATGCTCATGCAGATTAGTTTGTTCTCTTTAGATACTTTAACATGTGTTAATTGTGTTAATGTCAAGAGCTTTGACTTGCAGAAATCTATACTTGTGGATCTTCAGGGAATTTACTTGTAAGGGGAAACAAATGGACTACCCTATCTTTAAAAGTGTATATAATTATGTGTAAAAAGTCAGGTTATAGTGCAATATAATGAAATTTAAGGCTGGAAATCAATAAAAAGATATAATCATTCATACAGTTGACGGATGTTTGGAAGTTTTCATTAAAAACTGGAGCAGGACTGTATGAACTCAAGATGGCTGGTGTCAACATAATTTTCTGGGGCATCTTGTACAGCAAACAGTAGCAGGATATGAGAGCCGTAGTCTTCATAGATCCTCCTGTACAGCACACAGTAGCAGGATGTGAGAGCTGTAGTCTTCATAGATCCTCCTGTACAGCAAACAGTAGCAGGATATGAGAGCTGTAGTCTTCTTACATCATACTGTACAGCAAACAGTAGCAGGATATGAGAGACGCAGTCTTCACATATCCTCCTGTACAGCAAACAGTAGCATGATATGAGAGACGTAGTCTTCACATATCCTCCTGTACAGCAAACAGTAGCAGGAAGTGAGAGCTGTAGTCTTCACAGATGTTCCTGTACAGCAAACAGTAGCAGGATATGAGAGCTGTAGTCTTCAGAGATCCTCCTGTACAGCAAACAGTAGCAGGATGTGAGTGCTGTAGTCTTCATAGATCCTCCTGTACAGCAAATAGTATTAGGATGTGAGAGCAGTAGTCTTCACAGATGCTCCTGTACAGCAGACAGTAGCAGGATGTGAGAGCCATAGTCTTCTTACATCATACTGTACAGCAAACAGTAGCAGGATATGAGAGACGCAGTCTTCACAGATCCTCCTGTACAGCAAACAGTAGCAGGATATGAGAGCTGTAGTCTTCACAGATGCCTCCTGTACAGCAAACAGTAGCAGGATATGAGAGCTGTAGTCTTCACAGATGCTCCTGTACAGCAAACAGTAGCAGGATATGAGAGCTGTAGTCTTCACAGATGCTCCTGTACAGCAAACAGTAGCAGGATATGAGAGCTGTAGTCTTCATAGATCCTCCTGTACAGCAAATAGTAGCAGGATATGAGAGCTGTAGTCTTCATAGATCCTCCTGTACAGCAAACAGTAGCAGGATATGAGAGCTGTAGTCTTCATAGATCCTCCTGTACAACACACAGTAGCAGGATATGAGAGCTGTAGTCTTCACAGATGCTCCTGTACAGCAAATAGTATTAGGATGTGAGAGCTGTAGTCTTCACAGATATTCCTGTACAGCAAACAGTAGCAAGATGTGAGAGCTGTAGTCTTCACAGATCCTCCTGTACAGCACACAGTAGCAGAATGTGAGAGCTTTAGTCTTCACAGATCGTCCTGTACAGCAGACAGTAGCAGGATATGAGAGCTGTAGTCTTTATAGATCCTCATGTACAGCAAATAGTAGCAGAATGTGAGAGCTTTAGTCTTCACAGATCGTCCTGTACAGCAGACAGTAGCAGGATATGAGAGCTGTAGTCTTTATAGATCCTCATGTACAGCAAATAGTAGCAGAATGTGAGAGCTTTAGTCTTCACAGATCGTCCTGTACAGCAGACAGTAGCAGGATATGAGAGCTGTAGTCTTTATAGATCCTCCTGTACAGCAAATAGTAGCAGAATGTGAGAGCTTTAGTCTTCACAGATCGTCCTGTACAGCAGACAGTAGCAGGATATGAGAGCTGTAGTCTTCATAGGTCCTCATGTACAGCAAATAGTAGCAGGATGTGAGAGCTGTAGTCTTCACAGATCCTCCTGTACAGCAAACAGTAGCAGGATATGAGAGCTGTAGTCTTCATAGATCCTCCTGTACAGCAAACAGTAGCAGTAAAGCTGCTTGAGCAAATTCTCCGTGGCACATCATAGCTTGACAGAAAGGAGGTAGCCAGCCCTTGTGTTAAGCATGGTGGGTAGCTGTCTTATTATGTGTATAAATCTGTGGTGAAAATAGAACCATTATTATCGTAAAGATTTAATTGTGATGGCAGCTGAAGTGTCATGGTATGATGCAGTTTGTATACCTTTTATAATACAATGGATTACACTGTAAAGGAGTGATCAATATTACAGTATTGTTACCGCTTGGGTCCTGAGAAATGGGAATCACACAAGCTGTACTCACATGGAGAATCAACCCTCTTATGGGCAGTCACTATGAAGAAATGGCTACCCTACCATCCATCACTGTGAAAGAAATTATGGAGTTATTAACCCATTTTCTGAATGATGAATGGAGGAACATTACTTTACAATATTTGATGATGGTAAGATTTAAAAGGAATCGAGGGTCAGACTTTTAACATGTAAAAACAGATTTTCAACAAAATCTAATGTAAAAATAATCTTTGGATTTAATGTTGTGTGAATGAACATATTGAAAAAAACTATGGATCTAGTACCATAGTTCTGTAATTATGTTACCAGAATGAATGAATCATGACTTCTGTGAAAACACTACTAAAATATTTATCCCAGTTAAGGGCAGTAAGGTGAGAAGAGCTGTCCCCAATTATGGATATGCAAAACGCAATGTTGGTGTCACTGAGTGGATGTCCTACAAGTGTGAGATGAACACCTCAGCCAGGGGTCATTGGTGAACAATAAATAATTGATGAAGAAACAGCAAGTGGTACTATACCATCTCGCACTTTCAAGATTCATCTTTCATGGTGGAAGAGCCATCTCATTTAATGAATCATGGAAAAAAGTGTTTTGCTATAGGAATTGTTCATCTTGTACCTAGGTGTTAAGGGCATCAGAGTGCAGGCAGCACACAGCTTTAATAAATGCAATGTTTTGATTGCCTTGTCGTAATTATGATATACTGAATATTATCAAAAGGCTAAAACTTTTGAAACAAAAATACATGTATGTTTTCTTACAGCCAGAAATCAACATTAATGTTGGCATTAGCCAACATACCTACACTGCTGAAACACCAATAGAATCCTACACACAGACAGAACCATTTGTTTTGATCATGCCTGAAAACTAGATCCACAGTACTTCGCCCACACACAATCAATATGGTCAAAGTGGGTTTTCCTATTTTAAATCCTCCATCCACAACTTTCCTGTG